CCTCCCTCCCTCTCGTCTCTCTCTCTCTCTATCTCTCTCTCTCTCTCCCTCTCTCTCTCTCTCACAGTGTCTCTCTCTCTCTCTCCCCGATGGACGGGTGCTGATGGAGGAGGCGGGGGAGGAGTGGAGGCGGCAGCCGGCCGATCCGTTTACCCAACGACACGGCCTATCCCAAGGCGGCCGGCCGCGCCTTGTCCTGTACTGTCCACGTCCAGCAGCAGCCACGGCGGCGGCGCAGCTTGGGAAAGTGAGAGCGTCGCAGGAGAAGCACGCGGGGCGGGGCGGCGGGGGTGCGCTATGCACTCGAGGGGTGCGCGTCCCCCGCAGGGTCCCCCCGGCCAGCTCCACACGCACCATTAAAGGGGATGCTGGTCGTCCCGGAGGATGGACGGGACGGCCGCGTCACAAACCTGACCTTAACAACTCGTCGCGCACGTCCCGGCCGCTGCTTGCCATTCCGCTCCCATCCTATAAAGCCCAAACGTGAGGCAGCGCTGTACCCTTCGATACCTCATCTGATCAGCAATCGGTTCGTTGTTGTTCTGTTTTCGTTTCTTTTTTTTAATCGAAACCGTTTTTCATTCAATAAGCGTCCGCAGACAATTTCGCAGCAAAAGAATGCTTCATGCGGGCCCTTATTTTTTTGTGTGTTTCTTTTTGTGTGTGTCAGCATGTCAGCACACGGAGATTGCGTCACGATGCTGCTGGCCCGCGAGATGCCCAGACGCAGCAGCTGCAGCGGCCAGCTTGCAGCCAGCTGCAGCCGCGGCCAGGCCACCCCGGGCGTGGCGTGGCGGGGCGGGGCTTGGCGGCGGCAGGTGACTGGACGCTGAACCGTTGCGTCAGAGAGCAGCCTTACGTTGCAGTTCGTCTTACTCGTGTGGCTTCGGAGCGCGGTGCCCCGGGAACGCTGCAGCTGCCTGCATACGGGAGCCGCAGGCCGCAGGACGGCGAAGCCTGCAGGCCTGTCACAGGCCGGTCCCAGGCCGCACGCCGCACCTCGACCTCGTGAAAAGAATCTCAATAGCCGAAACCCGGCATCTAACCATCCACCCATTCTATTCATCCACCTATTCCATCCATCAATTCAAACAATCTATTCAATCTATTTCATCTATATATTTCATCTTCCGATTCCATCTTATCTATTTCATTTATCGATTCCATCTATTTCATCCATCGGTTCTATATATTCCATCCATCCATTCATCTATTCCATCCATCCATTCATCTATTCCATCCATCCATTCATCTATTCCTTCCGGCCATTTTTCCCATTAATCCCATCCGTCCATTACATTTTCCATATCCTTTCCATTTTCTATATCCTTTCCATTTTCCATATCCTTTCCATTTTCCATATCCTTTCCATTTTCCATATCCTTTCCATTTTCCATATCCTTTCCATTTTCCATATTAATTCCATTTTCCATTCACCTAAATCCATTTTCCATTCACCTAAATCCATTGTTCATTCGCCTAAATCCATTGTCCATTCACCTAAATCCATTTTCCATCCATCCATCCATCCATCCATCCATCCATCCATCCATCCACCCATCCATCGCCGCACATGCACGCCCCGTCCCGCCCTCTCCGGCCGCCGGCCAGCCAACGGGACACCCATCAATCACATTTCCTCCCCCTCGCCTGCCCCCCTTCCCCCTGCTCCCCTACTCTCTCACTCCATCTCACAATCAGTAGTACGGCTCCTACACTCCATATCGCCCGTTCGATCCGGAAGGTCGTGGGTTCAAACACTCTCTATCCCGATCATTGCGCGAGAGCTCGCCTCCACCACGGACGCTCAGTTACTCTTGACGAGGACTGTTATAGGTTTTCGGCATTTTCGTCCGACAAGTCAGAACCTGCTTGTATTTCACACATTGGACGACTGTTTAAATCACTTGGATTACTTAAAACTTGTCAGTTGTCCTCACAATAATTGTCACTGGGAATCTGAGGTGTATAATCGTGTAGTCTGTTGTAGGAAAGAACATAGGCAAACGCATAACAGTCCCTCGAATGATCGTTTCAAATATCGGTCAACCATCAACGTACGTACGACTCCGAGCCCACCTGTCTACCGGTCGGTAAGCCCGGTCCGCGTCAGTAAGAAGCTTGCTGAC